CTGTGCTTCCCAACTAGCTTCTGAATTAGACGAAACGTTGTATCACCTACCCAAGCCAGGAAAAAGGACTTCTTTCGCTCGATGTCATCGATTGAATATGCCTTAAAATGTTCCTCCAGTTGCCTCTTGTATGCATCGAATTCGTGCTTATCCTCCTCGAAAGGATGAAACTTGGGGACTGGTGTTGGAACCGCTGTTACGCTTACAGGAGAACTCTCACCCCGCTGGTTTAAGATTTGCGTAAAAAAATGTTGCTGTTGCGCAAAAATTGTTTGCGTGAATTCTTGTTGCTTTTGCAGGATCTCCGCAATAGCTGCTTCTATTTTTCAAATGGTTTTTTTTTTTTTTTAATTTTCGTCGCCAAATGAAACGTTTAAAGTAAAGTTTATTTCCAGACTGAATATCAAACAATATAGAACATTTTTAAGACAATAATTTTCTCCAAAGTTAGCAAGATCAACTGAAGATCAACAAGTAATTTTTAACAAAGTAAAAACATATCATTTTCTCCTCGCCAATTTTTTGAAAACTTGTATGGTGGTGTATAAAAATCTGGCTTGGGTTTAAGACGAGTTGACTTCCGTATTACAGATGGCCTTAAAAAATCTTGTGGAGAAGAACGAGGTTGAAATGCAGAACTCGTATGATCAGTTGGAACGGAAGTTATTGGAGAAGGCATCGCAGATGATTGATTTTCCCGCAATGAATGAATGTAGTTGAGAGGCTTCCAAAAATTGAGAACTGTTCTCAGCCACATGTTGTGCGCGGATTTGATTTCGGTGACGTTTTATCCTTCTTCCCATTTCTGTGTCTATGAGGTACATTATTCTTCCGATGGGTTTCACAATTACTCCTTTATTCCATGATTTACTTCCTCTGGAAAAATTTAGAAAATATACCTTTTGGTTAGCTACCAATTTTGTTTTTTTATCCAATGAAGTAGGCTTAGAGACTCTAGATGGTTGCAAAAGTGATAACATAGTCCGAGGTGGACGATTATGTAATAACTCCGATGGTGATTTTCCTTTTAGAGTTGGTGTGGATCTATACGATGTCAAATATATTAACAGGGCGTCATTCATGTTTTTACCATCAGCCAATATTTTTTTCATGGCGGTCTTGAATGTCCTTACAAATCTTTCCGGTTGTCCATTTGAGGCTGAATGAAAAACAGCAGATGTTAAATGCTTAATACTATGAACTGTGCAGAATTTCGCAAATTCCTGAGAGGTAAATTGTGTTCCATTATCTTTAACAATCGTATGAGGTAGACCTTCCATAGAAAAAATTATTTGCAAGGCTTTTATAGTTGAAGTTGCTGAAATATTCTCCATTTTCCTGACAAATGGAAATTGTGAGAAATAGTCAACGCAAATTTACCACATATGGTTTTCGAAAGGACCTGCGAAATCCAAGTGCATTCTTTCCCATGGCGATGATGCTGCAGGCCATGTAGAAAATTCTTTAGATGGATCTGATTTGTAACTATTGCATGATGAAAATAT